TCTTTAGATTTCTGAGAGTAGTTCTGTCAAGGTTAATAGTAAAGTTATCGTCGAATAAGTTTTTAATGATGTCATTAGTATGTTTAGTAACTGTGTCAAGAAACCGAGTATGTTTCCTAACATGGTATTCCTGGATTGTGTCAACGCTCAGATCCGTATGTAGATCCGCATTGCGAATATATCACGGAGCACTGACCATCCTACGGATTACCTTGTTTTGAATCACCTGCAATTTTTTTTTATTTTACCGTGATGTCTGTGAGAAAACTGGTCCACCGTAAAGCAATGAAGGTCTGATCACTTGTATGTATAGTTTGTTTTTGATAGTCAGTTTACTGTTCTTGTTAAGTAGTTACATTTATTTAATTTATGATCAATGTAAGGAGTCCAAGAAAGTTTGCTGTCCAGTATTTGTTCTAAGCTAAGTATTTAATTTGATTAGTTATTTCTGAATCGTCCAGTATCAGGTTATCAATATATCTGTTACGTTTGCGGGAGATCCAGGACAGTTTGGGCCTTATCGATGTTAATTTTTATTTTCCATAATTTTGCCCCGAGTTTTGCCCAGTCAATTATGGAGTCAAGGTGATTTTGTAGTCGTCTATGTATGTGATGTGAGTACTTTTGTTAAGCGTAAATGCAAGTGTCATCTGCGTAGATCGACGTTTTAGTATGAGTTCAAAAATGACGTTCAAAAGAATAGGGTAGTGGACAATTTTTTGAAATATATTTTTATTAATCTCCATAACAAAATAAATAGTACTTGATGATTCTTTGATTTTAGAAAACAAAAATATACCTAAAAAAAAATAAACAAATTTGTACTTATTTTAAACGCTATAATTTACCGCCCGGAAATTACGTCACAGCTGTTATGTCTTCTAACGTCAAGGCATTCCGACATTAATAAGAGTGGGCGAGAGCGCGGTCAGTGCGTCCTTATATTTTACATGCTTCTAGAAAAAGATGCAGATAAGCTTAGTGCGCATTGATTGACAAATGGAAATCTCTCAAAAAGTGGGGTTAAGTTGAGGGTGCGCCCCGACAGACGCTGATATATCCTCTCTCTTTTGCACTAATGAGTAAGTGTGTGTCGAATATAGGACGAAGGTTTGATTCATTTCATACTCAAATACAACAGCTATGACGTAGAATCAAGGCGCGAAATATTTTCGTTTAAATAGTGCGTCCCAAAACTTTACTTTTACAATCGTTTTAAACAAAGTTAGCAATTTTTTCTGAAATTTCTTTCAATAGGAATATTTTTCATTTACTCCATAGATGAACAATAGATCATCGATTTCATTGAAATTATACCTTGTCCACTACCCTATTGCACGGAAGATTTATGAATGACCTACGTGCTACGCGGATCAAGCGGAATCTGTTCAATGGCTCAAAATCGGAACGTTTTTTTCAGAAACTGAAGGTTTTATGGATGGTATACAAGATCAGGATATAAAAACAAGGAATTACCAGACGTATATTTTAAAGGAAGAAGTACCAACAGATAGGTGCAAAAAGTGCAATAGAAATCAAGAAACCATAGAGCATATTCTATCTAGTTTTCAATACCTAACTGAAACCCGAGCTGAAACCAAATATTTGGAATGACATAACAAAGTTGCCACAATAGTTTACCTAGAAATACTGAAAATATTTAACCTTGATCCTCAAAATAACTGGCAGTACTACAAGTACACACTATTAAATCTATTGGGATGAAACTATCATGACAGACGTCACACTACGACACAACAGGCCAGATATCACAGTCATTAAAAAACAATCGAAGGAAACCTTGCTTATAGATACAGGGTGTTTTACGAACATCGAAACAGAGGCGTTATGGGGTATTTTAAGGTCGATTAAAACAAAAAAAACGCTCGGACACGTCAATTTTGTATTCAAGGGGGAAACTTTGTGACGCAAGGGGGCACCCTCTGGGTGGGGTGACTCTCACCCCTCTTTTTTAGATAGGGAAGATGGGTCGAGTGGTACCTTGTTTCAAAGGTATTTTGATTTTCGTCACAACTGTATACTCTTTTTAAAAATCTAATGATTAGTTCTCAAGATATTCACTGTCAAAATTGCCATGGTCTAAATAGGAAACCATCTTCTGATACTGTTAGTCTCAAATTAGCACTTTCCTGACTTTCTTCTCGTACACGTCAATTTTCTTTTGTGTGTGCGTCCGAAAAAAATTGAAATTGACGTGTCCGAGAGGAAAGTCAGGAAAGTGCTAATTTGAGAATAGCAGTACCAGAAGATGGTTTCCTAGTTAGCCCATGGCAACTTTGACAGTGAATATCTTGAGAAATAATCATTCGATTTTCAAAAAAAGTATACAGTTGTGACGAGAATCAAAATACCTTTTAAACAAGGTACCACTCGACCCATTTTCCCTATCTTTAAAAGAGGGGCGAAAGTCACCCCACCCAGGGGGTGGACCCTAGTGAAATACCGATGGAATCAAAAAGTTTCCCCCTTGAATACAAAAATGACGTATCGGGACGTTTTTTTTAAATCGACCCTAAAATAACCTGAAACGCCTCTGTTTCGATATTCGTGAAACACCCTGTATATCGGTTTCAAATAACACTAACATAGAAATGAAATATAATGAAAAACTAAACAAATATGCTGAGTTAAGGACCGAAATAAAAGAACTGTGAAACCTTGAAGATTATTCCGGTTGTTTTGTCCTGTATGGGGCTAATTCCTAAGAAACTAAGTATCTCTCTTGAAGAAATTGATATGCCTAAGTCAACCTATCGTATAATGCAAAAATCCGTAATCCTGGATGCGACAAACATCGTTAGGTAATTTCTAGCAAAGCGACACAAGGAGAGTCTTGCCGCTGAGGTCCCCCTGTCTTTGAAACACCCGGTGTAACAACCGAGAGAAAAAATATATACATATGTTTATAAAGCTTGACTGCCCAATTAAACCAACAAATCATATAATAACATCACTGAACTTTCTCATTCCATATGGAGTGGTTGTAAGACAACGGCAATCATGGAAGAATGGAAAGCTAACTTCAAGCGGACAACGCATCGATGTGGATGCCAAGAGGGCATAGAAGGCAACGAGGAGACAGACCTTCTCGCTTTAACACCTTTTCAAAACCCAAAGTCTCCATATAGAAATGAACAAATGAGAAAAGAACCGAATGCTATTAGCTCATTGGAGATCCATTCCGGGTCTGAGACAGGCAAAAAGGTTCATATCAATCTCAGCAAAGAGATCTCTGAACAACTTCTTGACTGAACAGAAGAGATATTGGAACAGTTGTTGGTCTGCTCACTGAGCATTGCCTGGTGAAATATCACCTAAAAACAATAGGCAAAAAATCAGAAAACAACTACTGCAGATCTTGCGATCAAGCAAGCGTTGGTCTGCTCACTTCTGCAAAAGGCTGAAATACCTTGAAGGGGTACAGCTACACCCCAAGAGGTGGGCACTTTATCACCTAGGAAGCTTACAAATCTTGGACACCAACTAGAAGAAGAGTCACGCACGAACTATATGGAGAGGTAGCATTACTTGAGCAGCTGGAACAAACTGTAACGACTCCAAATGCAATCTGCAATCTACGCTTCGTCTGGTTCCTTGTTTTTTCATTCCAGTATCCTATGGGTACTATCTCTAATTTTATTTCAATTTTTGTACAAGAAATAGTCAAAAATAATGATAGAAATAGTGTCAGGAACAAATATAATTGCAATTATTACAACAGCTTACCTTGGAGGCAAAATTGGATGAGAGATGTATGTGGAAATTACTAAAAATTTTGAAAAACAATTTATACTAAATAATTTTTGAAGAAAAAGGATAGTCCACCGATGGCTTTAATGTTCTCAAGGGTCAACTTGGTCTAGTAGGATTATCTTTGACTTGGTCGATCGCTCAAAAATAGGCAGTAACCAACCTAAATAAGAGGATAATCTCATTGGGTACTTTATTGATAAATTTTCCCATGTTTTCTTGTGTAAAACTTTTGTGTTTTAACTTACTGCAATGTAGAGTTTTGAAGCATTTAATTCTCTAATTAAGCTCAAGCATCATTCATAAATCTCTCATCGTTGATATAAAAATTGTGCATTTGCTCCTAGTTAGTGATAAGGGTAAATTATTGTGAGGATTCGTACAATAATCATCTCTAATAAGCCTTCAATTATGGCTTTAATTAAGCTTTTTATTAGGATTTGCTTTTTGCTAGCAGATCAAAACCAGCATTTTCTCGATATAATATGAGTACGCCTTATTTGCATCTAGGGCATTTTAATTAGCCTTCTACTTCTCATACGTTTCTATACTTGCTGACCTTGCACTTCTATAGTCAAGAGAAAAGCCAAAATTCCTAAGAAAGAAAAGTCTAAACTCGGTATAAATACAATTGGAGAAGTTTTGACCTAGGATTATCAGTTGTGCGGAAAAAGAATTATATTATTTGCCTCTGCAAATATCTAATCTTATTATAGTAGTTCCATTATAGCTAATATTTCTGTCTCGTTTATTTATTAGATATGAGTGCTTCAGATAAAGATATTGCCTCATCATTCTCTCGAATCGTATCATTTTAACCGAAGCAAATATTCTTGTAAAATAAACCGATATGTAACTGGGTAGGTACTTCTTCGTCGTCGGGTACCATCATCATCCATTTGACGCATTCGAAATTGTTTCCTCGATGGTGTGGACCCCGACGCCAGTGTTCAGATCGTTCACCTTTGGTAATTGTGTAAAACGTTCCTTCTGCTTCGAACTGAATCAAGCGTCTTTGGCTCGAAAACATTATTAAAATGTATGTGTGTATTTTTGTAATTATTATCATCGGCAAGGTGCTCGAATTTCCCCCATAAATAAGTTCTAATTGATTTTTTTTTTCAATGACAATGACTAACCCGGAAATTAGTATTTATTTGATTTCATATTTGTATGTATGTGAGGCTAGAAACGTTGGGTGGATCAATAACAGATGTTCTTTGTTTCAGAATTGAATGCACAAAAATGGGCTGAACGTGGACGTGCCTCCTCTAAACAGGGCAATACTTCATTAAATACAGGTATTTATTTTTCATAATGAGACAAGTTGTAATACCAGCTGCCGGCAGGTACTGAAAATGACACTTGTTTTTGGTTCGATTTTTACCTGTCCCAGTTCAATGGCTCTCCGAAAAATTAAAATTATTTTCCAAATAGGTATATCTTTCAAGATGAAATCAATTTGACATTTATTGGATTGTTTGAATAATTTGACACTCTCAAATTTCATTCCTATCACGTTTTGTACTCCAAATTGCATTGAATTTGTGCAGTTCAAACTGAAAACCTCCACAAAAATTCACTAGAAGTAACTAGGATGTTGTTTTCTGTATAAATACTTATTAAATTTGTTTGTTTTTTTTTGCAGGATTGTGGACTGGAAATGGATAAAGAAAATGGAAAGGGAAGCGAGAGTTCTTCCGGTTCAAGCAAGGTACAAGATCCGGCCGCTTTGCTCGATGCTGCCAGCTTATTTGGAGGTAATTATACTTCAAATTTACTTATTTACAACAAAAAAAAGTATTCAAAAGTTTACAAGCTCAGTCAAACAAAATGTTTCCAACCCAGTAAAGTTGGGAACATTGTTAAAAACTTATACATGTTATTTCATTGTTTATCAATGAATAAATAGCAATAATTCGTCAATCATGCACATACATCAGTAGGCCCCATCCTCTTCCCGATCTACATAGGTAAATGATTTGGTCAACTTCTCATTCTTTTTTAAAATGTCACCACATCTGTTACGACATGTGAACCTGCAAAGATTGACGATTTTGGTATTGCTTAACTTGGAGACCAATTTGTTACCTACCTCTTTAGAAGAGTGTCTTCTTGACAGCTGTCAGCCTAACAGCTAGTTTGCATCCATGAACCATGGAATGGAGCAACTCTTTGCCCATGCCTATTTAGGATTTTTGGTCTACATGTCAGAATCTTGGTGGTTTCAGATAACGTCCTGTTTCCTTTCTGTCTCCTGCTTCCTCATTTCCTTTTTCCAAATTTTACATAAGCAGGATAAGATACCATCAACTTATGCCACAACTTCAAATTTTAAATAAACTCTTATATTATTCTAGCTTATTGGCCAAGAGGTGACTCAAGCGCAGCGAACCTATTCGCAGCTGCGAGCGGTTTCGGACTACCGCCTCACGCTGCGGCCGCTCTACCGTTCGGAATGCTGCCGCCCGGTGCCGCCTCCGCCCAATCCGGACGAGGCGGTGGATCGTCCGCGAACTCAAGCTCCGGGCTACCGCCCAGCTACCCAGCTGCGACTTCTTCGGCTTCGGGAGCAGCAGCGGCGGCGGCGGCCGCCTACAGCAACGCGGCCTACTCTAACACCTTGTCGGTGGCTGCCAGTCAAGCTGCCAGTCTTGGAATGCCAGCAGCAAGTAAGAATTTTGTTCATATATAGGTTTTTTGGGTGGAGTTTTGACAAAAGCTCAACAACAGAGCTACACAAACCAATTTAGCTTGACACAGAGAGAGAATTATATGCCCTTTCAAGCGATTCATAATAAAAATCCACTTGCTAAGGTAATAGAAATTGCTGATTTTTTCCAAAAAATAAAATTTTGAGCACAAAAATCATTCCTCTATCAAAAATCAAACAATCCTCCCTCATCAAAAAAAGCAAAGATGGGTTTAAAATTACACCCTAAAGGCTGGTAAGTTTCTTTACCTACAAACCCAAAACCCTCGTTTCTGTTTCGAACCCCTTTTGTTTCGCCCCCCCTTTCGGTAATATGCACTTCCGCACTATGGGGGATGCAATTTATTTATGCAGCGCGGTGGAAAGGTATGAAGAGAGAGACAAGGACGGCTGGCCTGGGTGCACTTATCGCCCTATTGCTAAAAGAGTGAATTTAATTTGATAGGCCCGCGTGCCTGCTTAAAGTATAACCATTAGCAAGAGGGGTTTCTGTTCTGCTGTGGTAAAAATCAATGAGTATTAAATAAGAATTTAGAAATAAATATATCCTAGAGACTTGAATTTGAAATATGTAGGTTTATTGGGACGGGAACTTCAAAAAATTTCATTGACAAAGTAGTATAAAATATACAAGGAAATAAAATAGGCAAGACCTCGATGAAAAAGTACTAACCTACCTATTCTGGTTGCACTGTCAGGTAGACTGTAATAGCCTTCAGTTGAATCGATATGAAATAATAATATGTGCACAGGAATTCTTGATAAACTACAAAGAGATGAATGCAGATCAGATAGTAAATTTCAACACAAGAGTACAGAATGAAGATGAATCACTATTGGATCAAGAAAACAATGTATGATCTAAAATGTGATCCACCTCTTGGTCTAAGGGCTCATTCAGTGATAAGCGCAAAAACTCAATTACACTCCTCAATCAGACCAACCAAAAAATTCAAAAAAGAAACTTCTGGTCAGCCGACTATGATAAAATAAAGACTTTCCTTCGAGAGCAAAACTTTCAGTCTGAACCAGATCAACTATATCAGACATTTGACAATAAAATAAATACAGTTAGCATACAGCAGCCTGGTGCCACTAAAAACGGTCAAGACAAACCCTTTAAAACCAATGGATTATCAATTATCAGAAAATGCAAATTGTGGAACAAACATAGTCATAGTAGAAAGACTGAGGACTACAGAGCATATACCAACAACAAAATAACACCCTTAAATCCATGCTAAACACTGCAATAATGAACTAAGAAAAAGGACTTTTAACAGCACAATCGACAAATCAAATATATAGGTATGTTGGTAGAAATCTGTCATCTAAAACATCTAAATTAATGCTTGTAGATGAAGCGACCGGGGATGAAATAACATCCAACCAACATATAGCCGAAATTTTTGCTGATAAATTTGCTAGTGTCTACACTCAGGAGCTGGACGATGAAAATCTACCACAGTTGGATGAAACCACCGGAATTCATGAATCATAAGTGAAATTCAAATCTCAACCCTGGAAGTAAAAGAAACTATACAACCTGACTCAACCCCAGGACTTGATAACCTTCCACCAGTTTTTCTTTAAAACTGTATTGACCATATTGTGCAGCCTATGTCAAATATTTTTAACTACCTACTGCATAAAATCTGGGACTCTACCACCTGCTTGGAAGAAAGCTATTGTAATTCCCATCTATAAGAGTGGAAACAAATGCAGTGCCAACAACTACAGACCGATAAGCCTAACAAGTCACCAGTGCAAATGTCTGGAACGAGTTATTGTGAAACACCTAACCACCTTTCTAGCTGAACATAATATAATTCCATCCACCCAACATGGTTTCCTCACAGTGGAATGTCCGTTACATCACACCTTCTTTTATGCTTAGATGATTGGACTAGGAATTTTGACGAGGGAAATCCTATTGGTATTATGTCTTTGGACTAAGGAAAAGGATTCGACAAGGTTCCCCACAGAAGACTTTCGGCTAAACTGGAGCACTATGGCGTTGGGGGCAGTTTACTGAGGCTCATTAGGTGTTTTCTAAACAACAGAGGCTACTGGGTCAGAGCAAATGGAATCCTGTCCCAGAAACATAGGGTAGTGAGCGGAGTGCCCGAGTAATTTTTTGCTGATGATACAAAGCTGTACACAAACCCATTGACAAACGCTAACGACCTACAGAAAGACCTTGAGTAGATTAAAAACTGGACAGATACCTGGAAGATGAAATTAAATGTGAAAAAGTGCACTACGCTAAGTATAGGCCCAAAAAACCCACAAACTACCTACTATCTAAATGGAGCTTCCCCTACAGCATACGAATCAACAAAAAAACCTTGAAATTATTATAACGAGTGACCTTAAATGGGAACCCAACATAAATAAAATTGTCAAGAAGGCAAACTTCATAATATACGTATATATGTAGATAGAAAAGCATTCAAAAACCTTTCTGTTGAAGTGAAAAACTATACATAACCTACATAAGACCTAAACTTGAATCTGCACACGTATGGAATCCTTACTTTGATGGTGATAGAATTGCTGGAAAGGGTGCAGCATAGGGTAACCAAAATACCACCAGAATTAGGAGATCTGCCCTATCCTGAAAGGTTGAAAATATTTGGTCTACCAACACTAAGAGAAAGATGATCCAGAGGAGATATAATTGAAACCTACAAAATTCTTAACAGTAGCTACATCTGTGAAAGGGATCTGTTTCAGAGAAGCCAATCCAACCAACTCCGAGGCCAAACCAAAAAACTGTAAAAAGAAAATATAACAGGCTGCCAAGAAACTTTATTTCAAACAGAGTAGTGTATACATGGAATGTCCTGAGTGAGACAAGTGTTGGTAAACCAAATATAAACTTGTTCAAAGTGTCATTGGATAATGAAAATAGAAACCTAGCAGATCAATTGGTGCACTTCAATAAGTAGCAAAGGGTGATCTGAAACCTGAATCTGTGACAATCTCTAAATTTGTGATCTTAACATTGTTCCATGTGATAAACATGTAAATTGATAGAATTGAACTGTGAAAGAACTGCAAAACAATTAAGTCTAAAACGATGTGTAAAAAGACGTAATCAATAGTTACATCGGTTCATCCGCCTACTAATGGAACAATAAAACAATAAACAGATTTGTTAAAAAGGAACTTTATCAGTAACCATCAGTTGAGGATGAGACGTTAGCCAAAATAGAAGATGGAATTTTGTTTTCATAATTAGATTGTTCCAAAGGTTTCCACCAGTTTAAAACTTACTGAATCTTGAAAACTTTGAACAATCTTTATAAGTCTATTGGGTAGACTTGCCTGTGAAACTATAGTCCACTTGGAATATGTTCTTTGCCAGATTTCCAATTTTTTTCAAAAAAACGTCAAACCAATTTTTTTCAAAAAAATCATATTATGGACGTCTGTGGAGTTAGTTCTGTAACTGTGCATGCGAAGAAATAAACAAGAACCATGTGTACCATTAGAAAGTAAGGACAGCATAACAATCCCAATCTTCAAAAAAGGAGAGAAGACAGATCCCAAAAACTACTCCTAAGCTCAGTTTCGAGGCTGTTGACGAAAATATCAGAAGAAGTGACTGAGACTGGAGGAGCAACAAGGATTCAGAAACAAAATATCGACTATAGACTGCATATACCGGGTGATTGTCTATATTTTGCACCCACACCTATCTCACTTGTTTGAAGAGTTACCCAGAAATGTCAGATGTGAAAGTTGTAGGAATATCAGAAACTTTGCAATGAAGTTAGTTACAAGTATACAGGGCGTGTCACAAAAATGTGGCGAAGCAAAGTTATACTTTTCTAAATGGAACACCCCATATATTATTGACCTATTGGATTAGCCTTTCAAACCTGATTCCAATTATACTAGACTTTTTAGGTTTATTCCTCATAGTCCAGCCTCTGAATATCCCATTTTGAAGAAATAATATGGATTTTTTACTTCAATAATTAAGTACCTTTATATTTTGCTGGTGGTCTCTATACTTCACCTTTTTCAATTAAAATGCAATTATTCCACCCCTCAGGGGTTTCTTATTTTTTCCCAGACTATTAGGAATAAACCTAAAAAACCTAGTATATTTGGAATCAGGTTCGAAAGGCTAATCCAATGGGTCAATAATATATGGGGTGTTCCATTGGGTAAAGTTTAACTTTGCGTTGCCACACTTTTGTGACACACCCTGTATACTTGTAACTAACTTCATTGAAAACTTTCCGATATTACCTACAACATTTGATATTTCTGGGTATCTCTTCAAATAGGTGAGATAGGTGTGGATGCATAATATAGACAATCACCCAGTACATAGTCCGTCAAATAACTGAAAAAGCCATCGAATTCCAGCGTTTATGTGTTTGATAGACCTCATCCAAAGTTCTTTGAAAGGGGTAGGTTGCCTGATAACTTTTATGACATCATCTGGGGTGCCTAAACATAATGCAAATGTCCATTAGGCACCCCAGGGTCCTTATTCTTGAAACAGGAAAGCAGCGTTTCCAGGAGAACGAGTGTTCCGTCTTTCTCAATGATATGCAAATAAAAATATAGGTAACAAAGACGGAACACTCGTTCTCCTGGGATGATGATGATGATGACGTCAACTGTTTCCCATTTCCAGAAAACCTATCAACTTTAGGAACCTTGGACCACAGCATCTTGGACCTCACCCAAGCCTTTGACAAAGTAAGACTGACACTATGGACTGACAAACGTCATAAAACTTTTATCACTTCTACATGAAAGAAAAGTTTATCAGGATATTGTCGCCATGATCAAAGATCTTAACATCGGCAATGACATTTGTGAAAGCAAAAAATAAGACAACTAAGTTTTATACCTGTCCCAACCGGATTCAGACAGGGCCACAGCCTAAGCCCTATATTGTTCAATATCATCATAGATGAAATCATTACCGAGATAAAACAACGTACAGTCTATTTTTTCCCAAGATAGATTTTGACATTGAAAACTTTGAAACATAAACAATAACGTTTGGCCCTGATTGGTCGCAAAATGAGGTGTCCCGGCCTGCAGGTTGACATCAGTTTTACAATGCATGTCGTGCAAATGGCATTTTGCGACCAATAAGCGGCATTGTTTATGTTTCAAAGTTGACAATGTCAAAATCTATCTTGGGAAAAAATAAACTGTAGAAGTCGTTGTCGAATGGGGAATGAACGCTGACGCTGACGATGCAGTTCTAATCTCCAAAGATGAAGATAACTTACAAAGACTTCTATATAGGTTCGAACAAATCACAAAACATTCAAAATACAAATTTCTACCCATCAGAAAACACAATCACTTACCATTTCCATAGACCTACGAAGATGCAAACTCGCCGTTTACAATCAAAGTGTGGAACAAGTGATGGCTTCTATTTATCTTGGAGCAGACATAACAAGTAACAGGAATCTGAAGGATCAAAAGCTACCTTAATATCAGGGTACTTTACAAGATATTATTTGGAGAAACAAGCATATAAATAGGGAAAGCAAAATTAAATCTATGAAACGTGTGTAAGGCCAGTGATGACATGGGACGTAAAAACGAGAGCGGAAAACGCAACTACCAAGCGCCTACTAAGAACAAATGAAATGAGAGTTTGCTAACTAGACACATACTATATACATGCTTACAAGGTTCCGAATATTTAAGATGGGTTCGGTTCTTGGAGAGATCAATGACTAATGACCGATTGGCAAAAATCGCCAAAAACCAGAAGCCTAATAGTTCCAGGCTACTCAAAGGAATGGCACGAAAGCTGGACATCAACATCCCAGGATAAAGGAGTTGAAGAAGACAAAGGACCAAGTCCTAACTATAAAAAAGAAGAAGAAGACGAAGATTACGTGGAAGCAATTATAAAATTTCCAAAGCCTGTAACAGTATCAGAAGTTAGAATATTTTTAGAATTATTGACATAATATTACCAAATTTTTAAATAAATATTTAGATTCTTCTGTAAGATGCTTTATTGTCCAAGAAGTAGACAGAAATAACTCAGGAATAACGGATTTCTATAGGATCCAGGGACCAGATTAAGGAAAATGTTTTTCCAATATAAAATGAAGATAGCAGCATATAATGCTCAATGTAATGTTAAGTGTGTGAAGATACTTATATGCTTGGGATAGGAAGAATAATTGAGCAAAAACAACCAGATGGATATCTTATTGTTTCAAGTCACTGATTAAACCAGAAATAAGGTACAGTCAGATTGACAAAGAAATTGTACGAATAACGTATACCTACTGTAAATTGTTTTAGGCAGAACTGATCATTGGCCTCTGGTGGAAATTTTATGAAAAAAAAACTTATTAACGAATTAGCTGTCAGATTACAAAATTTTAGAATGAAACTTTTAACATAGCTGGCTGGGAGAGAACTTACTGTACTTGATGCTCTCAGCAGAGCTCTATTTCCTATCGGAACAGAAGATCTTGATATATTCGAAGAAAATTTTAAGACTTTTGCAAATCTGATAAATACAGCAGAATCTTAGCATTTACAATAAGCAGTGATGTAAAATGACGGTCATTTAAAATCGTGACGGTCATTTGCGTTATGACGTGTCATGACGGTCATGACCATGGTCATAGTTCATAATAGTTAATTCAATTTAAAACGCCACTACCTACAGTCTATCGTCTATTAACTCACAAATGGTTTTAAAATAAGGATAGTCAATTATTGATTATAAAGTTTTGACAAATTATTAAGGATTCCAGAACAGAAGAAATTTCAACAAATTACAAAATAAGTTAATAAAAGCTATCTTAGCCTAGCAGGTAAAATAAAATAACAAAAATAATAGTTATTCACCTAACAAATGCAGAAGTGATACTTTACCGCACGCAGCAGCAGTCGTTAAGTGCAGTAAAGGCATTTTCCGCATGTGTTAGGTTATACCTATGAACATCTATTAGGCAATTCAATCCATCTGTCAAAAAGGAAAATTCAATGTGGCGTGGCGGCCAAGCAAGTTTGTTTTGAATATGTTTTTATGCGTATTTTAAATTATTTTGCATACAGTTTTGGTTACAGCTTTGATTTTCATTATTTAATAAAATATTTGTTGACTAGGTACCTAAACTATTATTTCGGGCAGAAACTAGATATTTTTTTGTGTTTTTTGGCTCATGTGTGGCCGCCACGCCATCTTGAATGTCACGTGGTTTGAATTGCCTAATATCTCCCAAAGAAAACATTATTGAAATTTCTGAACGAGAAGGAATTTTTGAGTTTACTTAAACAGCGAATCTACTTTACCGCATATTATGCAGTCTACTTTACTGCATATTTCCACACTATGCGGTAAAATGGTCATAACCAACGGTCACATTGAATGTGACGTGACGGTCGTGACCGTCATGACCCGCCGTCATGCGCGCTGGTCATGACCCACTAACATCACTGACAATAAGCCTGACAGAAAGATGTGATAATAATAATTAAACTAAAAGAGTATATTTTTAAAGGCTGGTCTGAACATTATGTTATTGTGTTAAAGATCTACTATACCTTTTTATACATAGAGGACATTTAGAAAATACAAAATGGATTGTAAGTACAAAAAAAAAGGGTTTAGTGGCCATGAATAACTTCTCAAATTAAAGATCTTACTGAAAATTGTGAGATATGTATGTCTCTGGTCGCTTAACCGATTTAAATTTGGAAATCCCCAGCCTACCTTGGTGGATTGTTGTATCCGTTTTATTCCAATTTAAAAACAAAATGTATATGGTTGTACAGGACTATTATATGTAGTTTGTTTTTAGTTTAGAAGTAATTGAATTAAAAAATACAACCAGTGCAACTATAGAGGAAATATTTGGAATCCCAAAAAAATTACGTATATGGCCTCATACAGTAGTTGTTTATTGTTCAAAAAATTTGCAAAAGCCTATAGATTTGAATGGGGTTCAAGCAGCCGTTATCATGCACAATCGATTGGTTTGGCAGAAAGTGGTGTTAAAACAGCTAAGAAAATACTGAAAAGGTCAGAAGATTTCAACTTACAATTACTTGCCTACAGAAACACACCACTGATAGATCTAGAACAAATAGAAGTTCCAAAATATACTTGAAATCAACATTACCTGAGGTAAAAAAAGTTAACGGTAATAAAAAAGAAGAGAAGAGGCAACAAAATTACTATTTTGACAAAAGACATAGAGCGCGAACAGTTTAATTATACGAGAAGGGAGAGAGTGTGGATTTTAGATAATCAAGAAGAAGCACACTTCTCAATCATATTATGAGGTTGCAACGAAAAATGGAGTAATTTATAGAAGAAATAGAAGATATTTATGAATGGGGTCCAGATTAAGAAAAATGTTTTTCCAATATTAAAAAAACAACTGTTAATAGCATATATTGCTCAATATAAGGTTAAATATAACATCAGAGTATCTGCAGATTCTTCTATGCTAGAAGTAGGAAGAATAATTGATCGAAAAACAACCAGATGAAAATTGGAGATCTGTAAAATAATATTAATTACCTATGTAGGGATGTACTAGTAGATATTATAGGCTGGGGAAGGTAACTAGAGATGTCAGAATTTAACAACTATAATAAAGACTTTCTATAATAGATGATTTACTATTATTCTTCTTACACATTCCCTTCTAGAGCATGTGTTTCCCAGATGGTATGGCAAATGATCAAAGTAACATTGTAATTTCTTGCATTATACCTAAAGCTTCAATCTCTATATTATTTTCAGTCTACTAGATTCGCGAATGCCAAAATAACATATCATTTAAGCCCATTATTGATTTCAAGAAATATCTGAGAATAATTTTGCATCAATCAAGCCAATTCCCAACCATCATTATAATTCGAACCAGCCCACAGTTACTGCTATCCTTGTTCAAACCAGTCAAATCGTGTACGTTTTCCCACATTATCTGTCCCTATTTATTCGTGTAACCAGCTCGCGGGAATGAGAGGGCATAAACATTAAACAAAGCCCTTATGGCAAACAGGAAAAAAAAAGCGTTTCCACCCCTCGCCACCCGCTCAAATGTCGGATTGACGCGCGTCGCGGCGCACTCCTGGAGGCGCCCCCACCACCGTTTCGGGGCCCTCCTCAATGTTCGTTCCGTATATCGCCGTCGGCCGGATTTGCTGCAGCATTTGATCTGGGCAAAGTGTAACGGCAAATGTAATTTGTTTTATTGATCTACTTTTCTTGGGTCGGGACTCGACTTTGCGCGTCCAACCTCCACCACCACCGCCACCCTCTCCGGCAAAAGAAAAAAAACCATCCCTCTCCGAGCAGAGTGAAAGGGTAGAGGAATATGACTAATGACACTATATATAGGACCACCCCTTTAAGATATAATTGATGTCGGGCGATTATTTTGAGCACTATAGAGAGGCTTGGATACAGTACATATTTCTATAAAAGCAAAAGCAAATTGTATTTTCAAATGAGTCAGAAATCAACAGGTTTATGAAAAACTTAGAACATGCTCTTGTTTTGTTTTAAATGTAAACCACTAATCCTACCGTATTTAATAGTATAACTGGATTTGTCCAGGTTTTGGGAAACTAGAAAAATAATCTTAGTGGGCAAGACTAAAACTGCTTCTCCAGACTACATTTAAGTCTCTGATCCTCTTGAGAACGGTATTTGGACCTGAAGACAGGGTTTGACACAGTCGACAATAAATTATTTTTGATGGAGAAACCACAAAAACGGGATCTATATATGTCCATAGCTAACGGTATTTGGGTTAATAGCAAAATATTTCATGTTTGCCATACCGTATTAGTATGTTCAGCTTCAAATGTAAAGACCTAAAAAAAATCGCTGTGCTGTAACAATCTCAGTATAAACACCGTAAAGCCTTCAACTCTACTATCCAATTCTTAGGTGCAGCATGGTGGTCCATGGCGTCTCACCTAGCGGCTCAAGATTACCTGGCCCGCCTACAAGCTACAGGTCTGAACTTCCCCATGGGAGGCCCCTCGGATCCATACTCCGCTCTGGGACTACCATCATTAGCTTCCATGCAGCAGCAACACAGCGGCAAAAAAGGCTCATCTTCCAAAACAACGTCCAGAGGCGGTAACGGAAAAGACAAATCTTCAAGCATGGGTTTGATGAAAATGGACCATCACAATGCCAAGATGAATAGTGGAATGGGCATGAGGTGAGATGCGTGAATTCATTTTTTGGGCTAACTCACATGCATTTTTAATTTTCAGCAAATCATCGAACAACTCTCTCAAATACTCATCGTCCACTGGCCTGACGATACAGCCCAGCGTCAAAATGTCGTCAAGCAGTGCGAACTCGTCTAGTACAAATACATCGTCAAGTCGCAAACACCCCGTCACTAGTGATTTAAGTTACTTAAGTAAATTGGACAATAACAAACAAAAAATTAGCAGTAGCAGCAGTAGCAGTAGTTCAGGTTCCGCGAGTGTTAAACCGTCATTAGAGTCGCCCAGTATATTTACGAATCCACTTAGTTTGGCCAGTAATCAGGACAAAAGTGGCACTGTGACATCCAGCATGAATAGTGCCACTAGTGTACAGAATTCAATCAGTGCTAGTAATGTTGCAGGGCTACCGGCTAGTATTTTAAGGTGAGTGTTAATAAAATGCTTTGCCGGTTTTCCACACAAACGGGTTTTTTTTTCCAAAATGCCATCTAATCTATAATTATTATTATTGCATCATTTTTCCTAAAAATCTGGAAACACATTAGGTACTTTTATTTCAATGTTTTTTTTTAATAACTATTTTTCATCTAGTGCTGCTCTAGAAGGAAGCAGGTAAGAGGGTTTTATCAGTACCTAGTTGTTTTTAATTGGTGCATTGAGTGATTTGTTATCGGAAAAATTATCTTATATTGGTTGGATTTTGTTTGCAATTTATCGTATATTTTGAGTTTATATTTTTTTTGAAGCTTTCCAAGTCAATTTGCATTATTCAACTAGTTCCTAGTCAAAAACCTTATTGTAGCCGTAGCTGTGTGGTAATTTATATATCCTCTATGCATGTTTTACAGTGATCCTAATTCAATTTTGGGTGGTGTTAGGTTACCACCCGACACCGAGATCATCAAGTACACCTCGTCAATTGTGGGTCCAAAAATACCTGGAACTACCAATCGCGGACGTAAAAAGACAATTTCTTTAGATCCGCCCTCTGTCAGTGTACTACCATCAGCTGGCGGTGGGCTTTATATTGAAAGAACTTCGAAAAGGCCTAAGCTAAGTGTGAGTATTATTTTTCTATAATTAATACATCTGAAACATTTTTAAGTTGCCAAGAGATACATTTTCCAGTAATGAATTTGAATTTGAAACATAGTCATAGCCACTTAAAAATGTTTTATTGGCCCACCTTTCAAGAACTATTTAAAATGTGTTTTTCTTCCTTAAAGGATCAAGATATCACCCCTCCAGGCACTCCAGGATCTTCCGATCGAGTAGAAGTAATAAAACTACCTGCAACAAATGGTAGTCCTTCAGGTATTGCATCGTACATGTCAGAGGCTTCAGGCGAAATTCCCCTTAATCTCTCTCTAAAACCAAGCTCTTCTTCGAGTAGTGGGACAAGTTCTTCCCTAAACTCGCTCAGCAACATGAGCGCTAGCATTGGATCTGATCGGATATGTATGTTATTACCCAACTAATAATAATTGACATCCCTATTTTGTTTGTACGTTTTCAGCACGTCGTAAACCAGGCCCGAAACCGCGTCGCGTTATTCCGATGGAATCGACGCCGCCTCCAACGACACCTCCAGGCATGATGTCCCTGTCTCAACTGTACTCTGGTGCCGAATCTCCACGACCTCCTAGTCGAAACGAGGGTTCCGACGGAGGCAGTTCCACTTCGTCCACTTCAGCACCCACCGGACCTTCGGGAAGTAACGCTATGGGTTTGCCGAATCACAAAGAGGGACGTCCAAGGAATTTGGGTAGGGGTGTCAGCAAACCTAAGAAGAATACGGTGGCGTCTTTATTGGCACAAAGTAGAGCTCTAGGTAAGGAAAACTCGACGAAAACTTCATATTTTGCAATCTAATATTGATAATCTCATCATTTATTTCTGAAAAAAATTGATACCTACATTTATTTTATAAAAGTGATCAGTTTTACAATGAGTATAGGTATATACAATAAGAATGACCATATTGTATTGATAGTTCTCAGTATAAGAGCTAAGCTGTCTAGGAAAATATGTCTATATGATCTATAGATCACTCCAATAGCATAATATGTCTTTCTGTTTAAGTGCAATTTTTCCGTTTAAGTGCAATTGCCGTCAGCTAATGACACATTTTGCGGACTGATTTTCTCTTTTCGGGGATTTCAATCACTGAAAATGATGTCAGTGCTCAGCTCAAAAAATAAAAATTTAGCTACCGAACGTCTGCTTGACATATGGAAAATTCACTTTCCTTTTGCAGAGGCCGGAAAATATACCTCAACAGAATTTTTTTATCAAGTTGTCAAGTTTGATTCTGTCAATTCCCATAACATGCAAACCTTATGTCTTTGGTTTTTCATTATTAGCTTGTTATAATAATGTAATGTATGTAATGCCATGAAAGAGAAATTGAAAAAATAACCTTTTTATCTGCAGAAGAAAAATAAATTTTTCATGTGCCTAGCCGACCTCCGGTTGCTAAATTTTCATTTTTTGAGCTCAGCACTGACAACGGACATAATTCTCATTGGTTTAAATCCCTGAAAAGAGAAAGTCGGTCAGCAAAATGTGTCATTAGCTGATGTCTATCGAGGTTTTTGAAGAAAATATAGAATCTATAGGAAAATCAGGTTATAATAACAAATTTCCCATAAAATTAGTTAGAAACTTGAAATAAACGTCCAATATTATTCTGTTAATGTGCAATAAAAACCTTCATTCAAATTTAAATCTCCACCTAAAAAAAAAAAGCATAAAGACATAAAAACTGTTATATTATATCAATATAAACCTGTCTACATGATGGATGGATGGATGACCCGGAAGAAATTATTTGTGTAAACTATGCAAAGAGTATTTCTGATGACTACTATGAATGCAATTGCTGCCTGGACAGAATGCACAGGACCTGTGCATTGTGAGGAGTATCAGAAACCAAAGTTATGCCCCTGCAAAAGCGCGACTTGATGCTTATTTGTGAGAAATGCAAAAAATATCTCATAAGAATGCCTTACATGATCAAAATGATAGAAGATTCAAGGGATGAAAATCAAGGATTGGAAATTAGTATTAAGATTAAGGGTACCCAACAAGAAGAAACACAAGTATAAAGGAAAGAAGGGAGAATCGACAACGCACAACGTATACAAGTTAATTCTAGCGCACCTACACTATTAAACCTAAAGCTCAACAAAGCTCCGAGAAAACGAAAAATGAATCACAAACAAAAGTAAACCCTGTCCAGCTAAAAGTGGGGATAAAATATCTAAAAGAAGTTAATCATGGAAATTTTATTGTGAAATGCACCATCAAGCAGGATATAGAGCTATTTAAAAAGAAGGTTGAAAAACAACTCAAGGGCAAATATTTTATAGAGACTCCAAAATTGAGGATACCACGGATAAAAGTAGTAGAATACACTGGTAACAAATTAGCGAATGAGATTTAAAGAGTCAATAATGGTTCAAAATAACTAGATAAAGAATGATAAATTTAAAATAACATACATATGTCAAAAAGAGCAATAATCCCAAAAATCAGTCAACAGTGTTTCACCGGAATTATTTAACAAAACGATTGATACTAGTAAAATTTGCATTGATTGGGAAAGCTTTTCTGTTTATGAGGACCTTAATATAACCAGATGCTATAACTGTCAGAGCTATCGCCATAAAGGTAGCACATGCAATGCGACCAAAGTATTTGGAAACTGTTCTGGTCAGCATGATATCAAGGAATGTTCTAGACAGGAGGATTCTTGTGGAAACAGTATTTCCACAAATAACCAGTACAACACAAAATATGGTACGAATCATGCGGCATTCGATGCTAGCTGTTAAACCACTAACTACTATTTAAAAATAATGAGAAGCCGTATTATGTATTCATTATTACGGTAGGTCTATAAACCTAGCAGTCCCAAGGGGGAAAAAAACTTCGGGAACTATATAATAATTAGGGGCTTTTTAGGTGCTAATTAGGGCATCTAATTAAAAATTAGGTGCTCCTTTAGTTTCTGAGAAAATCAAAAAAAACCCTATAGTAAAAAGTATTTTTTCAAATTTTTTCTTTGTATCAGAATTAGGTGCTTTTTAGGTGCTCCTAAATAGTCCAAGAAAAAATAGAATTGATTAATTATTAACTAAGTTATAGATTTTTTGGGTGCTAATTAGAGCCTCTAATTAAAAATTAGGTGCTCCTCTAGTTTTTGAGAAAATAAAAAAAAAAAACTAAGGGATTGCTAGGTTTATGAATGCTAGTAGTCCACTATAGTAAAAAATATTTTTCCAAAATTTTCTTTTTTATCAGAATTAGGTGCTCTTAAATAGTCGAAGAAAAAATGGAATTGATTAATTATTAATTGAGTTACACATTTTTTTTTTAATTATAAGGGGACTGCTGGCTTTACGTTTACATGTTGGTGTGTCAGAATGACGGAAAAACTTCGAGATCTATATAATAATTAGGTGCTTTTTAGGTGCTAATTAAGGCGTCTAATTTAAAATTAGATGCTCCTCTTGTTTTTGAGAAAATAAAAAAAAACTAAGGGATTGCTAGGTTTATGAAAGCTAGTAGTCCCCTATAGTAAAAAATATTTTTCCAAAATTTTCTTTTGTATCAGAATTAGGTGCTTTTTAGGTGCTCTTAAATAGTCGAAGGAAAAATGGAATTGATTAATTATTAACTGAGTTACTGATTTGTTTTTAATTATTAGGGGACTGCTGGCTTAACGTTTACTTGTTGGTGTGTCAGAATGGCAAAAAAACTTCGGGATCTATATAACAACTAGGGGCTTTTTAGGTGCTAATTAGGGCCTCTAATTAAAAATTAGGTGCTCCTCTAGTTTTTGAGAAAATCAAAAAAAACTAAGGGATTGCTAGGTTTATGCAAGCTAGTAGTCCCCTATAGTAAAAAATATTTTTCCAAAATTTTCTTTTGTATCAGAATTAGGTGCTTTTTAGGTGCTCCTAAATAGTCGAAGAAAAAATAGAATTGATTAATTATTAACTGAGTTACAGATTTTTTTTTAATTATTAGGGGACTACTAGCTTTCATAAACCTAGCAATCCCTTAGTTTTTTTTGATTTTCTCAAAAATAAGAGGAACATCTAATTTTTAATTAGAGGCCCTAATTAGCACCTAATTATCATATAAATCTTGAAGTTTTTTCGTCATTCTGACACACCAACATGTAAACGTAAAGCCAGCAGTCCCCTAATAATTAAAAAAAAATCTGTAACTCAGTTAATAATTAATCAATTCTATTTTTTCTTGGACTATTTAGAAGCACCTAAAAAGCACCTAATTCTGATAGGTACAAAGAAAAAATTTGAAAAAATATTTTTTACTATAGGGGACTGCTAGCTTTTATAAACCTAGCAGTCCCTTAGTTTTTTTTGATTTTCTCAGAAACTAATGGAGCACCTAATTTTTAATTAGAGGCCCTGATTAGCACCTAGAAAGCACCTAATTATTATACCGGGTGCCCACGAGATTACTTTCCGGCTGCCATTTTTTTATTTGTTCATCGATATCAACGAAATTTGGTAGGGTTGATATTTTAACCAAACGCCATTTTTATGCATTTTTGACAACTCTTTCTGACTTCCGGTTTCACCGGAAATTACCGAAACTTACGTTTTACGTCCTAATGAACCACTTTTAAATCGAGTTTTGTCCAAATTTCGTTTTCAAATTAAATTTTAAGTAGAAAAAAAAAGAAAAATTACCTACAAAAATAAGTATATGAACGAAAATTGAGAAAAATGTCGTAGCGTATTATATCGTTGGATTCGCTTTAAAATACTGTATTTAGTAATGTTATGAAAGTGATATATTTCTATTCTAGTTTTTGAGCTAGGGCAAAAATACTGAAATAATGGAGTTTACAGCCCTCTATCAAAAAAGTTTACAAAGATAAAATTGAGTTTGTATTTTTCTGAAATTAAGTAATGTAAGTAATGTAAGTATGTAGAGTATGTAGAGTCATTTTAGGATTATCATGGCACTCTAGTTAAAAAAATAAAATTTGGACAAAAATCGATTCAAAAGTGGTGCATTAGGATGTAAAACGATCTGTAGAATCCGAAAAACAAAAAATATACAGGGTGTGCCATTTAAAAATCAAAAGTTGCTGTCATTTCCGGTGAAACCGGAAGTCGGGAAAACTTGTCATAAATGCATAAAAATGGCGTTTGGTTAGAAACCAAGTTTCGTTGATATCGATAAATAAATAAAAAAATGGCAGCCGGAAAGTGATCTCGTGGGCACCCGGTATAGTTCCCGAAGTTTTTTTCCACCTTAGGACTGCTAGGTTTATAGACCTTATTATGGTTCATCATAATGATCCTGCTGCAGAATGAAGAAGTTTAATAAAAAATAGTCGAACACATACAGAAAAACTAGTGGATAGTGAAGAACTGCATAATCAATTAAATAATAATAATTAAAGACTGCTTTGCATATTATTATCAGGAGTGTTAACAGAAATATGGATAGTTCACTGCTTCTGATTAGAAGTTTTGATTTGTCAACAGTAGATGTAATATTTAGTTCTTAGTGAAACATTTCAAATCCAATCAATTGATAATTGTAACCTTGATGGGTATGCTATTTTTTACAATGATGCAAAATTTAATCGAAATGATGAGGTAAAAAGTATTTTCCCCTCAAATAAAAAATCGACGTGTCCGAGCGTTTTTCCAGATTTTCATTCCAATTCAAATAAATCGGGGAGGACTGTTTTCCCTGGGACACCCTGTATACATAAAAAATGAATTTAATTTTTCATACTCCAAAAAAGAATTTGATATTTCAAAAGCCACAATAGGCAGAATCGCTTTTAAAAAAAATAACATCAGCATTTGCATAACTGCCTCCTATACACCCCCGCCTATTTCCAAAGTTCAATTTATAAATTATATTCAGAATAACCTACAGTCAAATGCAAACAGGAACATCGAAATCTTTATTGGTGACACAAACATAAATATTCTTGATAAAAATTGTAATGGTGCATTTGCTCATCTTGCAAGCATGGCCCATGAAGGTTATATTTCATACATAAATACTAACTATACCTGACACTGGTAAAGTTTGTTTCACGAGGGGTTGTATTTTTGACATCGACGATGTCATCCATGTGCATAACATAACGAAACGACAAAAATTTCAAATGACGAAAGCCAAGAATTTGAAAAAAAACTGGATATGGCAAACTATTGTAATGACTTTTTTTTATAAAGAATAATTTTAAACTAGAAACCGAAATACCTACCCCTTCACAGTTTTATATTTTGGATATGCCAATCAAAAACTCTATGTTACTTGCGTCTGTTACAAGAAATGAGCTTATTAAACATATCGCCTCTTTAAAAAATAATAGTGCACCAGAAAGAAACAACATTCTTTCTTCAAACCAGCTTGGTTTTCTTGGAGGCTTGAGCACCACTGATGCGATGTTTAAACTAACTTCTATTATCAATAAATGTTTGAACAGCGTGTGAGAGGTGCATGGCAGTTTTTATAGATCTTGCCAAGGCATTCGACACGGTTCCCCATGATAAACTCATAGTCTTTCTGTCATAGTGAGGGGTTAGGGGTATTGTGTTGGAAGTCCTGAGAAATTACTTGCACGATAGACATAAAATGGTCAAGCTTAATGGCATATTTAGCGATAAGGTTAAAGTACAAATTGGTGTACCACAGGGCAGCGTATTGGGACCCAATTTCTTTATTGCATACATAAATTCAGCTTTAAAAGTGAACGTAAATGAGGACGCAATATCATATTATGCAGATGACACAGTTTTAATTTTCAAAGATAAAACATGGGAAGGGGTTAGAGCCGAGGTGCAAATTGGTGTAACTTTGGTAAAGAATTGGCTTCAAACATTCAGACTTCAGCTAAATTTAACAGAAACCAATCATATTGCTTTTTTATTAACACTTGCTAACAGACCTCCCTTTACATCAATAGCAACAACACAAATTATCAAGGAAGTTGCACATGCTAAGTATCTTGGCATTGTGATCAACCAATTTTTTAAATGGAAACCTCATATAGATTATGTATCAGATAAAATTGCAAAATTAATACAAACATTTTATCTATTAAGGGAATTCCTCAACAAAAATGTAATAGTTATTATATATAACGCTTACGATATTGTCATCATGGCCAGAGGCAAATACTCTGCAACCTTATAGAAAAAGCACTTTGAACCACGAAGGAATGGTGTCAGACAGTGGGGCTGAATCAAAAACCACACTGGTAACATTTACAGAAAGAACGAAACTCCTAAATCTGAGAAACATTCGCCTCGATGGAAAAAGACTTGATTGGAAAAAATAAGTCAAATTCCTAGGAATAACTCTAGATTCTAAATTTCTCTGGAACCAACATGTAGAGAGCACAAAAAATAAAGCAATCTCGGCACTCATGGTCTGCAAAAACATTGCTGGTAAAACATGGAGTTGTAACCCATCAATCCTAAGATAGATGTATACTATGATAGTGAAACCTATCATCACCTACGGAGCGGTAGCCTGGCATAGCCGAAATCAGCTACGAAAACCCTAGAAAAAGTGCAAAGACTCGCGTGTCTGTATAACAGGAGCAATGAGATCATGCCCAACCGCGGTACTTGAAGTCATTCTAGACCTCAGACCACTCCACATAATAGTGAAGCGGGTTGCCAGTGGATCATGTCTTAGACTGGAGAAGATAGGTTTACAAAGGAAAACGCACCTTGGCAGAACTTTTCCTCTCCCAAACTGTGCACACCTCATAGATCTACCAAAAGACGTGATTGTTGATAAATTCAGTTTCGAGAAAAACTTCTCCATCGAACTAAGTACAAAAAACAGATGGAACATGGAATCTATCCGATCCCTTAAAGCAAACACCATCAAATGGTACCCATAGACGGCTCCAAAACTGCTGAAGGAACTGGAGCCGGAGTATTCGGGCCACAGACCAGATACTCAAAGCCAATGGAAAAATCATCAAGCATATTTCAAGTGGAACTTCATGCGATCGGAAAATGCGTGCAGTTCAACTTGAACAGAAGTTATCGGAAACGAGAGATTGTAATAATGTCTGACAGCCAAGCAGCTATCAAAGCATTGAGATCCCTGGTCATCAATTATAAGACAGAATGGGAATGTCTACAGAAACTAATTGAGCTGGGCAAACAAAATAAAGTAACCCTCTTCTGGGTTGCCCGGACACATAGGTGTCGCGGGCAATGAATGCGCAGACAGACTCGCAAGAACAGGAGCGTCTACTCTCTTCACTGGGCCAGAACCATTTTGCGGCGTCGGAAATGCGCAACTCCAAGAAATCCTCAAAAAAGAAGAGAAGCGGCTAAACAACAAACAATGGCTAGAACAGCCAGGACTACGACAGGCCAAAAATCTATTGGGCAACTTCAACCAGAAGTTGTATTCCTTTCACACTTGGGAGGAGCTCCGGAACAGTTCCGGGGCATTACGCGCTTATTCCTTTCGTAAAGTGTTTATTGCACCTGAAGTGCTCAAGCCCGAATCAAACCATTTAAATAAACGAAAGCCAGCGCATCTGTTCTTTTCAAATCGAGGTCGACTAACACCGGAGCGAGTAGCTCTAGTGTTCTAAACTCTTGAAAGGAATACAACTAAAAAAGATCAGAACTACTGGTCAACCTTAGCAAGAAAAGTCTCAAGAATCTAATTAGGTTTCTTTCGGGACATTGCAGACTTAAGAAACACCTACAGAAGTTGGGGTTAGAAGAAGGTGGCATCTGCAGATTCTGTGAAGACGGAGAAGAGACACCTCACTGTCCTCTACTGAACTGCGATGCCATTAGTCGCTCAAAGATGAAGAACCTGGGAAGTGCCCCTATATAGTTGGAAGATATTCCAGCCCTGGAACCGCTAGATATTCTAAAATTCCTAAAGGGCTTAGGACTGGAGGGGCTGCTTTGAGCAGCGAAGGAGGGGTACAATAGATTAACCTTGGTCGCGGTGCAACCGACACCTCCAACACACACATACACATACACACACATATATATAAATCACTAGTTGAATCATTGCTTACCTATGGAATTGTGGTCTGGGGAGGGTTATATAAGACTAAGACTAGCTTGAAAAACTAACGTCATGCAAAAATATATCTTAAGAATAGTATATAGAAAAAATAAAAGATATCCAACACATCTTATATTTACAGTGGAGACTTGTAATACGTACACTATACATGGCTGCAGTAAGTAGCTACTATACAGAAAAAAGACTATCTGAAAGTCCATATGAATCATGAACACAGTTCACGAAACAACCTTAACCACCACATAAATATACCTCTTAGTTTCAATAATAGCAATCTGATTTCTTTTCCTATATCGGGCCTAAAGTTTATAATCAGCTGCCAAAAAGCGAAGCATTAGAGGTATTCAGAAGTGTAAAAAATTTACTGAGAAATGTAAAGAGTATATTTTTTTTAATATTGGATCATTCTCAACTGTTTCTGCTAAATAATGCTTGCTAATACCTAAAATTAATGTGTACCATAATATGTATCACTCAACTGTTTATTATTTTTTTTCTTGACTTCATTAATTAGAAAATTATTAAGAACTTTCTTTTTTCTTTACATAGTGACATAGTAGGCACACATAAGGGTTTCAAACACCTAGGTGCCTTGGGCATAACTTGTATAGAGTATAGCAGAATGCCTGATAGATTAATTAATTAAGTTAATAACTGTATTGTTGTAATTTTATGAATGTTGGTTCTAAATAAATAATAATAACAGGTATTAAACCAGTTCCAATGCTCGATCCCAACGCCTCGATGAATCAGCAAATGAGCTTACTGAAGTCCAACATCCTCGCTGCACAGCAATACATTTCGGAAGCTGGAGGAGACGAAAAAGCTCTGAACAAGTTTTTGCAGGAAAGATTTAGAGGGGCACTGAGCGACGGCAGTACAGCCGAGGCTTCAGATTCTGATAATTTAAGTGATTCCAATTTAACCGATTCAGAAATTGAAGCTGAGATGCAGGCGTCCAAGAAACAGAAGCAGTATGACGAGAGGATGTTGAGGGTGCCCCTGGATAGAGGTAAAAGTACTATCTTTAATTATGTATAATTTTTGAAATTCTAAATTGTTCAGGCTGGAGAAGAGAAACTATTATAAGAGGTGTAACGAAAAATGGCGGTATCAAAGGTGACGTAACATATGCGGCTCCAGACTCCTCCAACAAATTCAAACAAATGTCCGACGTCACCCAATACCTGGAGTACCAAAAAACCACCGAACTCTCGAAAGATAACTTCACCTTCAGCTGTCGCGTGATAATCGGCGATTACTTGCAACCAGTACCGCCTGAAATGCAGACTGACGGCAACGAATATATTTATTTGACTGAAGAGGACGTTACCAAAAGACTGGAAGAACTGAGGGCAGCCATGAGGACAAGTTTGCCGGTAGAACAACGAATCGAAATGGCCAGGAAACAGCAAGCGGCCAGAGCTGCCGCTCGAATGGACAGAGAGCAGCAACGGATTCACAAAGAGTTGGAGAGGAATGAGAGACAGGAGGCTGCTAGGAGGGAAAAGGAGGCTAGATCTCATCAAATAATGGAGGTATGTTGTCGGATTTTATAAAAAAAGGAAAGTCATTAATGCGTCACAGTTGATAATTTTGATAAAACTGGTAGATGTAATTTGGTGATGATTTCAGGCTAAACGAAAACGTCAGGAAGAAGCTGATAAGCAAAAGCAAGAGGAACATCAAAGAAAGCAACAGGTGAGGATTAAAATGTTAAACCAATGATAAATTATTTGTGATTTTTTTTATAAATTTTCAGGAGAGAGAAATTAAAAGACAACAAGCAGCTATGCTCAAAGAACAAGTGAGTAATATTTAGTAAAGATAAAATTTCAAATCAAACTTGTGTATTTTACAACAAGATTGTTTTTTAGCATGTTTGGAGTGCGTTTAGATGAACAAAAAAAATTTCATATCAAAATTTGTTAGTGTAAAAAAATATTTTCACTCAATTTATTATTATTATTATTGTTAACTTTTATTATTTATTTTTATCGCTTTTTTCTTTCATTAATCCAATTGCTAATTGTGTGTTTGTGTGTTTTAGTTGAAAGTGTATTTTTTTACCCTTTTTCATAGCTACTTTGTAAATACTGTCACGCAATTTTTTCTCTTCCTTTAGATATACATACAGGAGATCAATAAACAACGAGAAATGCTCTACACGGTCGAGCTGGTATGGACAATTTCTAAAAAAAAAAACGCTAAAACAAATTGATTGTTATTCTCCTTTTTTAATTTCTTTAATCTTTTTTGCTTGTCCATGTCTATTTTTTGTTTTGTTTTGGGAATAACACCAAACTCTAATCCGCTCAAAAGAGAAAAATTTTTGCTCTAAAATTTAATTTTTTTTTTAATCAATGGTGATGGTGTGGCTCTAATAATTGTCTTTTTATTTTGGTTGCGGTACAACTGTTTATTTATCAATGTGGAACAAAGCAATGTTAACTTTGGATTGTCATTTTCTCACTTGGTCCAAGAACTTGGCTGTTGCATTCTCTGTGTCCAACAAAAACTCACAATCTGATCATGCAAAGTTAACATTCCTTAACGTTATTTTATACTAAAAACCAGCTTTTTAATAACAATTTAATAGCATGTTAAATCGCCTTTTTAAAAACATCAAGTCATTTCCACCAAAAAAACATCTTATATTTTTGTTTGTTCCCGGTCTAGGAAAAAGAACGTCGACGTCAACATTTGGCTCTAATCAAAGCAATGGAAAACCGTCGGAAAATGGAAGAAAAAGAGCGCAGAAAGCAACAATTGTTAGCGGAAAAACTAGCGAATAAAGAAAAGAAACTAGAACAGAGAAAGGTAGATTTGGAAATTCTTGCTGAACTGAGAAAGCCTTGTGATGATCTAGAATTGCAAAATCCAAAACCCTTGCCTGAATTCGAACGTATCGCCGATCTGAAGTTGCCCGGTAAAGCTTTCGCAGACACTCTAATGGTGTTTGAGTTTTTACATAATTTCGGAGAAACTCTGGGATTTGACATGGAATCGTTGCCCACATTAGAATCCTTACAACAAGCCTTAATGTCCAATGAAAACCATTATGAAGCCGAAGAAGAACTATTTTCAGTAATGACCCATCTTCTAGTTTGTGCCATCGAAGATCCTGGTATTCCAAATCCTGCAAGACATACCACAATTTTAGGTCAAAGTCTACGACAAGCTGATATAACCCCGTCAAATTTGTCTGAAATTTTAAGAATTTATTTGTACGCTAACGCCACGGGCGAAGTTAAAGCTTTAACAGGAGTTCACTTTGAAAGAGATCGTGAAAAACGTATCGCAGACCACCATCAAACAGAAGAGGAAATGCATCAAACTCTTGCAGGCAAAAATAGCCATTACTATGAACTTCTACATGATAACAACACATACAAAATTTCAGATCTTCTAAAAGACAAACCTTTCATGGCTCTATCCCCTACAGACAAAGCAACAATATTAGCTTACATTTGCAACGAACTATTGCAAAATAAAGCTGTTTTAAGGCAAATTGATTCTTCAATGACTACAATGATCGAAAATAAACGTGACAAATGGTTGCTGGATCAAAAAATTCGAAAACTTAAAGTTTTACACAATCGTAAAGTGAAAACTGAGGCTTTAGAAAAATCGCTTAATGAAGATGGCACATTGGATTCACCTCATATACTGCATAAAGATGAACTTTTAGATGAAGAAGACCACGAAATGAGCGATAATGAAAGTGTCGGCACTCAACCAGAAGAAGAAGAGGATGTTAAACTGTCTGGCGAAGAATTAGCCAAGAAATTAGAGAAATCTATGCAAACATCCGAAAATCATCTTACTAATAGTAACTTAGCCTTTTCCCAGCTTAGAGCAGTTACATTTGGTGAAGATAGATACTTCAGACGCTACTGGTCTCTATCAAAATCAGGAGGTATATTTATTGAAGCCATGGAATCTGCTGAACCAGAAGAATTTGAAGAACAACTTATAGGTGATCATAAGGAAACTATAAGCAACGGAATAAGAAGTCTGAATGAGCTAAACAGCGTTATTGAGAACGTTGATAAGATCATCGATCACTCCATAGACAAAGAAGTGAGCAATATAGTTGAAAATAAAGAACAGATTAAATTGGAAACTGATGACAACGAAAATGAACACCGAAAAACGCCTAATCGACTAGAAAATGGTGAAATTTCAATGGACAAAAATGAAATGAATTTAGAGGAACTCAAAAGAAGCGTGGACGATATGGTGCAGAATTTGGAGAGAAATATCGAAATGGAAAAGGAACAAAAATTAAAAGAATCTCAAATAAAAGAGGAACCTGAAACTCTGAAAGTTGAAACTACAAGCGACGAAGGTGATTCGATTGCCAATAGAAAATTCAACTTATTCGAACGTTTGGGCCAGTGCATGGAACGTGAAAATAAAACTGAAGAAGATCTGAAAGCTGACGTGAAAGCCGAAGTAAAAGAAGAACTAAAAAACGAAATCCTTAAAGAACTAAAACAAGGAATCAAAACGGAGCCCATAATAAAATCTGAGTTTGACGAAAACGACGAAGTTAAATGGTTCAGTATATTGCACAAGGACGCAGCATCTTGTGACGAAATCCATTTAACCCCCAACAACCGATGGGACAGCGGCACTTCATCCCCCAAAGACTTGGAACATAAAGTTCCAATATTCCCACCGCCTGGTTCCAACCCCAATTACCATTACAATTGCGAAAGCCCCGCACCAATTCAAATGACTTCCGAAGAGAGCGCTCAGTTGGAATATATCAAAAAACATGGCAAACCTTCGTCAGCCAATAAAAAGCAGGTACCCAACGAAAAACGTTACGGTTGGTGGCGCATGAAGAGCTTAGACCAATTACGCGAATTGTTGGATAACTTACATGTGCGAGGAGTAAGGGAGAGAGAGTTGAAAAGGAGTTTTTTGCTTACAATGCAACAAATGTATAACAAGGGCAAGTTGGTAATTGAAGAGGGCCATCCTGAATTGACAGAGTTGAGGGGTGAGAATATTGAGGGTGTTTGCATGGTTGAAGGGGACGTTCCAATGCCCTACGAGCCAGGTTGGTGGAGTAAAGCTACCGCTCATAGAGTCGATATGTTTTTGCTGGAACAGGTAAGAGGAAATTTACTTTTGATAAGCGGGTAAATCAATCATGAATTGGTAATTTTATGTATTGGTGTCCAACTAGGTGTAAAAGAAAGGGAATTTAATTGCATAAAAATGCTTTAAAATGAAATTGAGAAATATATTGACCAATATCGATCTATATATTTAACTGTAGGCCTAGTGGTGGCTATATGCATAATCGGATATAAGCAAAAATAAAATTGCGAAATATATTGACTAATATCGATCGATATAACTAATTGGTACATTCCTTCCAATTGTCACCGCTAAAGGGTCATTTAGTAAATTGAAAATATTGAAAAATTACTTGAGAAATTCCATTAGTCAGCATAGACTGCATGATCTTTCTATTTTGTCTATTAGACATAGCACAGCATCCAATATGGATATTCGGTAAGCCGATAATAATCAAAATTTCGCATGATGATTCGCAGCTCTTAAGTTTATATTAATCAAAATTTCTTCTTCAGCAGGCTAATTGGCTCAAGAAAAATTATCCAATAGAACAAGAGCCACACATAATCAAAATTTGAACTATTACCGGCTCTTGATTCTCTGGAATACTTTCCTGGAAAAAGTCAAGAGCCGGTAATAGTCAGAATTTGAACCTTTATCAACTCTGGATTATTATTATTATTATTATGTTCTTGGCAATGGAAAGCGGCCTAAGACCCATTTATAGACTACGCGATTGGTTGAAAAGTTTTTCCTTCCAAAAAGAACAGTTCTCTTTTTTTTCAGTTTTTGGTGGTGTCCTCTGAGGTTTAAGTTTGGATTCATTTGGAACATATCTTCCAGTTTTAGGTCTGTAGAGTAGTAGCCATTTAGGATCTTATGTGTTTCATTTAGGTCTCCTCTTTCTCTTCTTTCTTTGAGTGTTGTCAACTCGAATTTTTGTGGTCTTATTTCGTATGGCAGATTTCTAAGTTCAATTGGAATTTTGGTAATTTTTCTTTGCACACTTTATAAGAGATCTATGTAGTAAGGAAACCAAACTGTGTGGCCATTTTCTAGTTTTGGTCTATAATGTAAGTGGTGTACAGTTTTTTTTATCATTTTTACAGTTTGATTTTCAAAAGCTTGTCTCATAAGGTATATAGTTGATCGGCCTTCTTTACGTGGGATATATAGGTTTCCCATTTTAGTGCGGCAGCTTAGCTAGGATATTTCAACATATTGTGCACTTTTTGATAAAGGCACCAAATTTGGCACAGAGGTCGAGCGATGTAATATGAACAAATTTGGATGTTGAGCCATCGGCCAACTGCCCCCCGGTAACTGTGGCGACGATTTTCCAAAATAGATGCCAGTGGACACCCCGAAAGACACCGGAAGTTAGATAAAGTTTGCTTCTGAAGGTTTTAGTATATGTTTACTGATGGTTTTGAATGAAAACATGCCAGATAGTTTCTTTGTTATACAGGGTGGGGCACGAAAAACTTCCCACCTAAGTTTTCTCAGGTCTTGTCCCAGGTTTCAGGTGATTAATCCAAAATTGCTTGGACAAGTCAATTTTTGTTTTTTCATCCTCTATATCACAACTGTACATGTCAACCCCTAATCGGGGGTGACAGGGACCGCAAAATTTCAAATGGAAACGAGGTTCGAGTGATACAATGTATGTACTATTTCCTAACTTGGACAAGCCGCAATTTTGGCAGGGTAAATATTAGCAAAAATTTCTATCAAATCAATCAAATAAGAGGAACAAAATCAGAATATCAGACAGACAAAATGACAAAAACTCGACTTCCTACACAAAATATGACAAAATTTGGAACTTGTTTGGATTTTTGGAAAAAATTGTCATATTGACTACGTTTGTTTCACGCGTTGTATCCGGATTCTAAGTGGATTAAGAATTATCAATCCATATTTGTTAATTTCACAACTAGGTACTAAATGGATTAGGATTAGTGTTGTCAAACCTTTCTTATAAGCCTTGTGAAATGCGCAAACGCGAATTGCTTTGTGTCTAACTTCAATAAAGGCAATCGCTGATGCATTTTTTAGGTAAAGGTTATTTTTTCTTGAAATTAGCAACAAAATTCTTGAATCCGAGATTTGAGGTGTTTATTCCACATTTGAGATAATCCATTTTAAGTCCAATCCTACAAATTTCGAGGCTTGGAATAAGTACTCCGATCCGGATAAACTCTCTAATCCTGAGTGTTTATTTCAGGATTATTAATCCCTATTAATATTCCAATCCACTTAGTATCCGGCTACAACACGTGAAATAAACGTAGGCATTATCTGACAAGGAAATAAAAACAAAATCGCGAATGTGTTTAATATAAATATTTTCTGATTTCTAGTGGTCACGATGGCACCTTAAATTTTGGGAGAACTTCTACAAAGTTTGAAGTCTGAAAAACTAATCTCGACATTTCTCAAAATCGTAAGCGTAACTTCAGGGTAAACATTGCAACTGGACACGTTTACCCTGGAGTTAAACCCAACCTGGAGGTGACTCGCTATAGTCGCTATTGATAAATCGACCCTAAGGATCAAACACTATCTTAGGAACACACTTTCAGATGAAAAGATAAGTGACCTGGCACTAATCGACCGAGGTGTCTCATACCATTTTTAATTCAACTAGTATTTGTCTTTTTTATATTAAATAATCTTGTGTAAAAATAAAATATAATGACATAAGCCAGTGCCTGGAAGGAAACGAAATGATTTTTAATCGCACAGGGGCGAAAAATGGCTTAATCCGCCCCTGCACGGTCGTCGGGGGCAGTTGGCCGATGGCCAAATTTGATGCCTTTATCAATATGTTAGCTAATCTGCTGTACTCTTTCAGATCATCGGTGACATATACTCCTAGGTCTTTCTGTTCTGAGACTTTTCTGAGTTCGACGCTATTTATTTGGTAGTTAAATCTAGGGTTATTTCGTCCTATATGTAAAACTGTACACTTTTCCATTTAGTTTTAGCTGCCATGTGGTTGTCCATTTTGCTACAGTGCTCATGTCTTCCTTTGGTTGATGCAGCTGTGTTAAAGAATTTCCATATAGTTTTTTGTCATCTGCAAAGGATTTTACTTTGGTTTGAATAGTTTTTGACAAATCAGAAATGTACACTATCAAAAAAAGAGAAGCAAGAACTTGTGGTACTCCGCTGACGACTGGGTACATCAGAGCCAGGGTTCCATTTGTTCGAATATAGAATGTTCTTTGCTTAAGAAAGGAGCTGCTCCATTGTAGGTATTTGCCTCTTATTCCATAATGGCTCAGTTTGTTACAGAGTCTCTCGTGTGGTACTGTATCGAAGGCTTTCTGAAAGTCGAGATATATGACGTCGATTGGCTTGCCTTCGTCTAGGTTTGTAGACCAGTCGTCCAGGCAGCTGAGAAGATTTGTTGTAGTAGACCTTTTTGGCATAAAGCCATGCTGTGTAGGAGGTATGATGTAATTTTCTAAGAGAAAGGATGTTGTTTCTTTCACAAGAATTTTTTCAAATACTTTGGACAGTGTGCAGGTCAGGCTGATGGGTCTATAATTGGACGGATCGTCTTTGTCACCACTTTCGTAGATTGGTATCACTATAGATTTTTTCCAGATCTCTGGTATGGTACCATTGTCTATTGAATCTTGGTATATTCGGGCTAATAAAGGTGCTAGAGACGTTGCACATTTCTTTAGAAATATAGATGGTATCCCATCTAGGCCTGGACTTGAATAGGTTTTTAGGCTACTTAGAGCTGTGGTGACTTTTTTGTTGTTATGAGTTTATTATTGTTCATTGTTTCTATGGGCAGAGTTCGCACGTTTGTAAGGTTTTCTCTGGTGTAGACAGAATGAAATTGGTTTGCAAAAGTGTTTGCGGTGGTCTTTGAGTCTTTTATAAGGTCATTATTTATTGGATCTCATAAGATTAAATCATGAACCTGGCTGCTTAGATTGCACTTGATATAAGAATAGAAGTGTTTGTCATTTTTTTCCAGAAGATTTTTTTCATAGTTTTTCCTTGCTTCAGAGATTAATTTTTTTAGTTTGTTATTTTGTATTCTATATCTGCCGTAGCCTTCGTCGGTTTTATTTTCAACATACATGTCCCATAGTTTTCGTTTTCTGTCAATTTCTTTAAAGATTTTCTGATTGAGCCATGGTTTTCGATGGTTAGTTCGGCATGTTTTTTCTGGAAAGAAATGTTCTATTGTTGAGGTGATACTGCTTTCGAAGGAGTTGGTATTCTTTGATTGTTGGATTCATGTCTCTTGATAGTAGTTCTATATATTCGTTTATGGCGTCATAGTTTTCAATTTTAAAGTTGCGTTTTTTTGTTTTTTTTTGTTTGATTTATTTTAAACGTTATTTGGGCGGTGGCTGCTATCATAATGTGATCACTCCTACCTAATGGTGACCTGGGTTCTATTTGTGTTATCATTTTTTTGTCACTTGTTAGAAATAGATTCAGTAAAGAGCTTTGATTGTTTCTATGTCTTGTTTTGAAGGTGACTATTTGTCGACAACTCCATTCCTTATATTTTGTTAGAAACTCGGTTGCTTTTTGACATGGCTTTGTGAGTTTAAAAGTTTTCCAGCATATTTCGGGGTAGTTAAGATTCGCTGGAGAATTTTTCTAAGGGCGTTCAAAGCTCGAGAGCCGATAATAATCAAAATTTCGAATGATCATAGGCAGTTCTTAAGTTGATATTAATCCAAATTTGTTCTTCCGACGCTTTTGATTGGCTCAAGAAAAATTATCCAATGGATCAAGAACCACAGATAATCAAAAACCGGTAATAGTCAAAATTTGAACTTTTATCAACTATGAATTCCCTAGAGAATTGTTCAAGGGCAGTCAAGACTCTTGAGCCAATAATAATCAAAATTTCGATTACTCATTAGCAGCTCTTGAGTTGATAATCATCAAAATTTCTTCTTCCGCAGCTTCTAATTGGCTCTTTTAGTTGAACAATTTGCCATTAAAAAACCCAGGCGGGCCTAATTGGGATATTTGCTTAGGGGCCCAGTGCATCCAAGCTGATTTGTGTTTTATTCATTCATGATTGATTTATGCTCCTATCTCAAGAGCCATATTGAATCACCAACTTTACTCTAATTTACTATATTCTAGGTTGAGGCGTTAGAGGATAAAGTTGCAAGTGCCAGCATGCAAGTAAAAGGCTGGAAAGTGCCCGAGAGAGATAACGTTGACATTCCTTATGGAGAAGTAGTTTCTCTTGTGAAGGAAAAACTAGCAAATCTAGAACTTAATATAGAGAGGCGTTACCTAAAACCACCTCTTGGCATAAAGTGAGCTTAAACAAAAATTAATTAACATTTAACAAAATGTATGTTTTTCAGTGCCAACAATATCCGTTCCAGTACAGGTAGCGCTCCGGACGCTGGTTCTCACCAATCGACGCCTGATTCCTCGTGCACCAACACTCCAGCAATGACGCCTTCGACGCCTGGTACCAACGACGACATTCCCAAAGGTCTGGCGACTTGGCGCGAAGCTGTACACAGGGCTGCAACTTCGGCGCAGCTAGCAATGTGCCTCTACTCGTTGGAATCGTCCATCGCCTGGGACAAAAGCATCATGAAAGCTGTGAGCGAACAGGCTGAATTTAGCTTACAGAACGCCCGCAAATATAACAGCAAGCTCAGTGTGGGTGCTTGTGCTCTTTGTGTCTTCTCTTTTTTTTCTCTTTACGTTAATTTTGTTTTTATATTACGCTACTCTACACGAGTTAAAGAGTGCATGTTCTCCATTCTGTGGTGGTGTTGCTGGTCTGGTTTCAAAACGGGCGTTTCAAGTTTATTAAAATTTTGCATGTTTATTCACCTGCTCTAGGAATATTTCGAATAATATTCTGCACAAAATTTAACAAAGCTTTATCATATTTTTCATTATTCGTTGTAAAAAATCGCGTTTTTTTTTTTGATATTAAAAACTCAAGTGTGATGTGTGTTTTCACTGGTATAAAGGGGGCGTCATGTAGAGTAGTGTAAATATTTTAGTTTGTTTCTTTTGAACAGAATTTTCTAATTTTCGTATATTGTTGGTTTTAGAACTGTCAATTCTGCCATAGCGGTGACAACGAGGACAAACTGTTGCTGTGCGACAGCTGTGATAGGGGCTATCACACCTACTGTTTCAAGCCTAAGATGGATAATATTCCTGAAGGCGACTGGTAAGAATTGTTTGTTTGAAATTCCTACTCTAAAATTTTTTAACAAATTAACTAAGACTGAACTTGACAGAGAATTAATATAAAGTTGGACTTCATATAAGAATTATTATTATCATTTCTCAGGTACTGCCATGAATGTATGAACAAAGCCACGGGCGATCGCAATTGCATAGTTTGCGGGCGAAAAGCGTCGTTGAATAACACGCGACTGCTCGTTTGCGAGCTGTGTCCGCGCGCCTACCACACAGATTGCATCCAACCTCAGCTCCATAAAGTTCCTCGCGGTAAATGGTACTGCACCAATTGTATCTCTAAGAAACCGCCCAAAAAGACTGTCAAAAAGAACAAATCTACTCCGGTTAAGGAAAACGAGCCAGTTGAACAACCAGTAATAGCACAACCTCAGCCACCGCCTCCGCCACCACCACCTGCCAGGTAAGAATTATTCTCTTAATTTATATTTTCTCCAAACGTCAAAAAAGCGTCACTTTGTCAACCCCTGTCAAGGTGTCAGAAATTTAATTTCTATGCTGCCAAGCTTTAGCGGGTTAACACCTGTCGAGGTGGTAGAAGTTTAATTTCTATGCTGCTTGGCAACCGCAGCGGCAGTAGAAGTACTTTTAGTGCCGCTGGAGCGGCAGCAAAAGTACTTTTAGTGCCGCTCGTACTTTTACTGCCGCTCAACCATTGACTTGCCTCCGAGCTTACCCCATTAGTTTGGAAAAAAATAGCGTGTTGCATACGGATTAGAAGCACTTTTTTGTGCTTCAGCAGTATTGCAAGCCTCACTACGTTCGGCTCGCAAACCTACTGCTTCAGCACAAAAAAATAAAGCTTCTACTCCTAATACAACAATATATTATTATTTGAAATTAAATATTTGAAAAAATTTACTTGTATATTAAAATTCACTGATTTAGTGCCGGTACTTTTGGTCTCATTTGACAGCCGTTAAAAATAATCAAGGGTTTGAATGTGCTCTTAACCACATCATACTTATAGTTATAGACCTTGGCCCATGCAAAACTTTGACAACGTATCAAATTCATTCATCGAGAGCAAAAGTATCGGCCCCTAATAAAACCAAATTAAGTAGGCGCAATTTGAAATCTAGATTACTATATTATTATTATAGGGCAAATAGTGAGCGGTAAAACCGATGAAACTATTTCCGCGTTTACCTTTTCTTCCCTTAAACTCTTCCAGTTGTAGACAATCCGAGAGCTTATTGCAACGTTCCTTGTCAAGTTTTTTATTGTGACCTCTCAAATTTGTAGAATCATTCAGGTGAAAAATTGGAAGGTCACATTTATAGTAGCAACTCAGTACTTTGTAAGTTTCAATCAATTCTCCACGGAGTCTGCGCCATTTAAGTAGTGGAAGATTTAGTGTAGCAAGTCCGGCATCGTAAGGTAGGTTGGGCAGCTCTGATGGAATCCTTGTAACTCTTCTCTGCACTCTTTCTAAAACATCTACGTCTTTTGTGTCAGAGGGTTCCATATACATTATGCATATTCCAATTTGGGTCTGACATAGTCTTGTAGAGCTTTAATATCATCTCTTTAGATTGATTTTTGAATGCCTGAATAAAAAAGACAAGAGTGTTGGCCTTTTTGGTTATGCTGTTGATATGGATTTCCCACTCAAGGACCTTAGTGAAGATAATACTCAGGTCTTTGTGCTGTTCCGCCTCTGCAATAGGCATTTGTCCAATAAAATAGGTGAATTTAGTGTTCTCTGTACCGTACCAAGGTGAAGAATGACACATGATGCTCCATTCCCTCACTGCATTTATATCACGCTGTAGGTGATTTCTTTATAACAAAGGATTGCAATAACAGTTGGAGTCATCAGCAAACACGGACTTTGATACGAGGAGACCAGATGGCAGGTCACTGATGAATGCAATAAAAAGTAACGCACTTAAAGTCGGGTGTTCTCCAATTCTTACTTTGAAATTCCGTTTTTCTGAAAAGTCTCCAATAAATCTTGAAAGTCTACCTCCACCAAAATTATTGAGTTTGTATAGCAACCTTCCAAAAGACACCATTGCAAATGCCTTCTCAAAATTTATGTATAAAACATCAGTTGGTTATCCCAAGTCATCTGCCAGTGTCCATTCTTGTAACCTTGATAGAAGATTTGTAACTGTAGACCTAACAGGAAGAAAGCCATGCTGCGATGGATGGATGAAGACGTTCAAAAATGGCGTTAGTTCGGCGGTGTTTATTTGCCATACACTTACACAGCATAGAAGTAAGACTTCTTCTTATTCTCGCCGTACCATCTCCTAACGGAGGTTGGCTATCATCACTGCTCTTACCTTATTTGCGGCTGCTCTAAATAATTGATTTGATATCCTTGCAAACTATTCTCTAAGGTTTTTTAACCAGGAGGTTCTTCTACCCTGACTAAGTCTTCCTTGAATTTTTCCCTCCATAATATTCTGTAATAACTGGTATTTAGGACCTTGTTCATACGGCATACCACCTCGACATTTGGGATTCTGTCAACCTAAGAAATTCGTAACATGCGACGATAGCACCATCTTTCAAATGCCACTAGTTTGTTAAATTCGGCTGCTTTAAGAGTCCAAGCATCGGCACTATATAATAGGGTTGAAAATACATAACATCGAAGCATTCTGATTCAATTGCAAATTTTATGTCTCCATTGCAAAGAAATTTCTTGAGTTCAAGAAAAGAGCTTCTGGCTATCTGAATAATTCTCGATTTTATTTATTGTAATTATTCAGCAGTCTGGTGGTGTACTACTGAGTCCAAGTATTTGTAGTATTGGACTCTTTCGATTGGCTTAATGTCTATTGATAAATTAGCGATTATATTTTGCTGTCTTGTAATTGTGCAAAATTAAAACTGGAAAATCCACAGGTTGCTGATAGAATGGTAATCGATGAAAGATTTTAAAATGAAATTGAAAGATATCGAAACTGAACAGGATATTTTTTCACCTTACCTTGCTCTACTTCCAAACTCCACTCAGCTGGCCAGCTCATTCAGGAAGTTCAGGTCCAATGCGAAGACGTGGAACGAAACCGTGTTGATTTAACCGGTCGCGGTAAACGAAAATTCGCGGGTCTATTTTCTCGAACCACACGAAGCGGGCGAAGTGTTTTTGGCAACTGGTACTGCTTGTCGGCAGGAAGTTTCAGGACTTGCCGGTACCCTTTTCAGTGTTTGACGCGCGCATTTTTAAAAGCCAAATTTAGCAAAGTTGTATCATTCTTAGGCATAGAGCACGCGGAATTCAATTAGAATAAGAGAAAACAAAAAATAAAGACAAACGAATCAATTTCCATTCCCAACTAGGATTTAAAATCCTAAATACCCAATTTAACCTACAACTATATACAGGGCGCGTAGACGAAACTGAACAGTGATAATCATACATTTTGTTTTCTTCAGATTCATACTGAGTCCTCATCATTTGCAGGAGTCGTTTATTCTTTGCAGAAGATTCTGCAGATCTTCAATGCTGTCTGCCGTTACTACCTAATGTATCGTCGGCATATCTAAACTTGTTATTTTGTTGGACGGTCTTTACTCTGATTCCTTCTTCTAAACCTTTTTGAAAAATTGCCTCACTAAATAAGTTAAAAAGTAGGGGGTACAAAATACATCCTTGACGCACACTCAGTTCTATTTCTATATCTTCTGATAACCAATCATTTAATCTGACATTACCAGCTTGTCCCCATAGTACAGGTTTGCTATTAATCTTTTTTCTTTGGAATATTACTATCAGTTTTTCATGTTGTACCTTATCGAATGCTTTTGTGAAGTCAATAAAACAAATGTATATATCTTGGTTTACATCCAAACATCTTTGCATTAGAACATTTAATCCAAAGAGCGCTTCCCTTGTGCCCATGCCCTTTCTGAATCCCATCTGACTAATCAGTAATTTCCATATCTAATTTTGCGTATATTCTGTTGTGAATAATAAATATAGTCCGCCCAAGTTAAGAACACCGGTTGAAAAAATGTGAAGCATTTCAGTTTATAGAAAACATAACTGTCACGTACTCTCACTACAAAAAAAATGAGGCGTTTAATAATTGTTATTTGTTAGATATTGCTCTGACTATCGAACGATCTCACTGATGAGTCCTACACTGAAGGCTTTACTAGTCCGCCCAAGTTAAGAACACCGGTTAAAAGAATATGAAGATTTTAAGTTCATATAAAACATACATAGTTGTCACGTACACTCACTACAAATAATGAGGTGTTTAATAATTGTTAGTTAATAACAATTAGCACTAAAGACATGAATGCAATGTAACACACAGAAAAGTTGAGCCAACTTCAACTTGGGGAAATCCGTGCATCAAGTGCACCAATCACAGCGCTCTTAAACGCTTCACGTAAGAAAATTAACTTCATTGTAAACACTCACTCATAGGCATGTAATTGACTGGAAATTGTTTGTTGCCCTTTTTGTATATTGGAATTATAATTGCACTTTTCCATTGAGCTGGCAAACGACCATTTGCAAATATCTCACCCATGACATGTGCAAGTGGTTGCTTTAGCGATAGTATGCAATTTTTCAACAAAAAAAAATGGTGGAATTCCATCTGGTCAAGGACTGGAGTCTACTTTGAGCTGTTTTATTACTGCCTTCGCTTTCTCTGCAGTAAAACCCACTGCTGGGATTTCTTGTGCATTATAAAGTTCATCTGAAAGCGTAGGGATTCCTTCCAAGTTTCATGTAAATACACATTGACATTGGTTGGCAAAGTATTCAGATATTTCGGTATTATCACTTATAATCGAGTTATTGGTATCCTTTGAAGTGAAATTTGATAACTTTGAATGCATTGAGCGCTTGATCTACGCATAAAAGTGTTTGTCCAAAGTGTTTGCTAGATTGACCTCATAATCATTAGCTTGATCAATGCACATTTTTGTGAGATTGTTTTGTCTCCTATAGTTTGCATAATTTTCATCAGTTCCATTCAAGCTGTATTTGTCCCATGAATCTTTTGAATCTTCTTGAAAAATTGCCTAGTTAGCCGTGGTTTGTTTGGATTGGATTTCATTGGAATGAATGGTATAAATTGTTCTATTGTTGATGAACGCTACATATCGGTTTTCATTAGCTGTGTCAAAATTTTGTGATTGTAAGTAGTTGTTTAGTGCTTCATAGTCTGCCCTCCAAAATTGCCTCTTAAGGATGGTTCGAGTAGGTTGCAGCTGTAATTTGGCAGTGATGACCACATGGTCACTACGACCCAAAGGGGGATGGGACTGAATATCAAATGTTAATTTTTTGTCGTTTACAATAATTAGATCTATGTAGTAGTGATATTTCGTTTCCACAATTCCTGGTCGGAATGTTTATTAACTGAAATCTGTTCATTTCTATAGCTATGGAGGAAATTCTGGCTACATTGGTTTATGAGAGAAACA